AGTGCTTATACAAGATTGTCACGGACGCATTCACAAATACCACCAGAAAATGAAAGAGTTCTTGGCAGCCTGCCGGACAATCCTAACGGCGCATGAGTTCTCAACCCTGGAAACGGCTATCCTCAGAGGAGTTCAGTATCACCGGAAGCTGCGCGACACCCATTTACTGGAGAAATTTCAAAAAATATGTCCACCAAAACAACCCACCTCTGACGGAAACTTGGTTCACAACTTGTCGTCACATCGTTTCACCCAGCCGCAGTAAGCAGTCCTTTCCTATGACGCAAAGCTCAGTACAAGGAATGCTCGACCAGAAGATTTCATTGCATCCTTCGAGTCGGTGCTTCAGAAATGTGAGGCAGACGAGGAGTGTCAAAATGTCATGAGACAACAGGTGTTGTCTTTACTCCTCCAGCACAGAAACCAGAGTCAGAAGCCCGTGAACTTCTAAGAATACGGAAGATGAAAGATATCGTCACCCTGCCCGTTGACAAAGGGCGCTCAACTATCGTCATGGATAAGGTTGACTACTGTGAAAAGGTAGCAATTTTTACTGATGGACAAGGATTCCTATGTGACATCGACCGTCAGCGAGTCCAAGAAGCTCGAAAACGCCAGTAATAAGACGATTGACAAGTTGAGAAAGACAGGAGCTCTCACAAGAAGGGAGGCGCTGGCTGCAAAGACCGCCGATGCTGCAGTGGCACATTTCTACGGCCTATAAAATATGTACAAACCACGGGGTGCCCTTATGCCCCATCGTATCCCTACGTGGCACCCCACACTTTGGGTTGTCAAAGTGGCTTTATCGGTGACTGTGCTTCATTCCCAGGGACTCAAAGTGGACAGTGAAGCCCGCTTAAGTTTTTGACCCACATCCAACACTTGGAAGTGGAGACAGACGAGATGATAGTGTTTTTTTACATGATCTCATTGTTCACCTCTATTCCACCCAATCTGGCTATCGAGACTATTAGCAGTCTTCTCCAAGCGAAATACGATGAAATCGACCAAATGTTCAAACGAGTGCACATCATCGAGCTCATTGAATTGTGTCTAAAAACTTTCTTTACATTCTATGGCTAAGTTTACGAACGATAGAAGCGGACACCAATGGGCTCGCCTCCGTCTGGCCTTTTGCAGAGGCTCGAACGGCTGGTCTTCAGCTTGTCTGCCCCGAATTTCTGGGGCGCATACGTCGATGACACTTTCATTGTCATCAAAAGGGACAACGCACCGGCTTCCAAGGTACTGCTGAGTTCCATCTTTCCTGACATCGAGTTAACCATGGAAGAGGAGGTCAACAATCAATTACCTTTCCTTAACGTATTAATGACGAAGCTTGAAGATGGTAAGGTAAGAACAACGGTATACCGCAAGGCAAACAATACCACGCGCATCCTCCACTTCAAAAGCAACCACTCCGTCTGTCACAAAGGCAGTTGTGTTAGAATCGTATTCTAACGCGTTAAAACACACTGCCGCGACGTAAGTGGGAAAAAGGCGGAGATAAAGTACCTGCATGTTTTATTTCAGGCCAACGGTTGTCCTAAGTTCTTTGTACGTAAGTGTCTTAAAAGGCCCCACCTTGAGCGTTCGAAAGGAGAGGACCGAAAGTTCCGGCTCGCAATCCCTTATGTGAAGAATGTATTAGAGACAGCTGCAAGAATCCTGAAACAATTCGGAATCGGTGTGGCTCATAGGACGAAGTCAACCATCAGACGTCAACTCATGCGGCCCAAAGACCCACTACCATTGACAGAAAAATCAGGTGTGTTCTACAGCATACTATGCCAAGACTGCGATTCAAGGTACGTTGATGAAACGGGCAGAGGCCTAGGCACAAAGTTGCATGAAGTTGCAGGAGCATCAACAGGCAATCAACCGCAAGGATAAGCTCTATACGGTCTATGACCACGCAAAGCAAAGGAATCACGTTTTCGCTTTGAACAAAGCAAAGGTCCTTGCCCGAGTCAAGGATAAACTAGCTAGATTTCTGTTGGAAAGTTGGTCTTCGACTGGCACACCCAACAGAGCCATAGACCTCCATCCCGCCTACCGGGCGTTACACACAAGACTCTAGCAAGCTCAAACAAGGCCAACAGGTAAGCACAATGAAGAAGAACGGGGAATACAACCAAATTCAGAGGTAAATAGCGGAGAAGCCTGCCAGGAACCACATCGCCGCCGCGCCCACGAGGTTGAGATCAACTCAGCCGAGCAGGAACCACTTATTACTTCGTCAGCCGACGAGTAATAAGTCAGCCAGTACGCTGACTTGCGACAACCGAAAAGTGAGCAGAGGTCACACGAGCTCACAGGTGAACAAAACTCATGGTCAGTCAACAGCGAACAGACAGGTCAAAGGTCGTGCGTCGAGCGCGGATATAATAAAAGGCAGGCATTAAATCTGAAACAGTCCCGTCGAACGGGAAAAACCATCCAGTTACTCTGACGATGGAACCGGGAGAGTGTCCGAAACGTCAGTCTAAAATAAAACCTCTTTCTTTCTCTTCTTTGGGGGGTGATCAAAATGATATGATACCTGGACCTCGAATCCTCACGCCGAAAACCAACAAAGTGCATTACAAATGCAATTTTTTTCGTCACATTATTGAAAAAGGAGAATGAATTCAGTCATGGGGAGTTTTACCTCTCATGAAGATGTTCAGAAAAAAATCCATTATCACCCACTGGCACAGTAAAGTTTAAGCATGGTAACATTGAAATCTAAGCTGATTATAACGTTTCGACATCCAATTTCCAGCAGAAATGTACTTTCACAAACAGCGGACGAGCCACTTCAGGAAACTAAAATCAAACATTTGAATGGTTATCTGATTACAAATAATTACGTCAAAACAGACCAGATTGGGCTTTTTTGGATTGGTCCAGGTTAACAACCAGATGTTTTTTGCGATGGACTCTCATTTGGACGCAATTGTCAGGTCCCGTGCTTAGTAAACCGTCTAAAAAGGGCAGTAAATTAGACGCTTTCGTCTCCAAGTTGCTGCCCAGCTGCGCTTGGGTTTCCGCAATTAGGAGGTCAGTTGAAGTTATGGTAATTGCGCAGGTGTCATAAAAGTAGTGACTGCAATGATAACCATTATTGACGTGATTGTCTAGTTGTAATTACTTCATTAATAAAGCACATTAATGTGGTCTAAGCTGCAAGGGCATGACAACATCTCTGAGGTTGGGATCCTTTATGCCATGATGAATTTCAAGGTACTTTGTTAGCCACGTAGTGCCAGCTTATACAGTGCGGCTCTAGTTTCCATGGTGACCACCTCGGTATCACAAGAAACGAAGAGTGTTTGCATTGAAAAACCAAAGGAATACGCTCAGGCGCTCTATCTGGCATTTCGGGAAGCCATACAGCCCAGATCTATGTGTGTCCACCGGTCAGAGTTGTTCGAGCTCACATTCGCTACGAAATCGTCGGCGTGGAACCTTTCTAGACAGCGGAAAAATGGGTCCTTGCGTCATCCGTGCAATTTTCTTCTTGTTGTCAAAATTCCCTTGACATTTGCTCTCGTCCTCTTCGAATATATTTACAAAATTCCAACGCGTATGACTGAGCAAGAGCATTCAGTTTTCAGGTAAAGTAGTGTGGTGATGGTTAGCAAAAACGTAAGGGAGATTTTCGCACTCCGAAACCGAAAGAATGGCCGCAGGCCGTCCTTATGGATCTGGTTAATTGCACGAGGCCCTTTTAAAACAGTTAGGGTATTGTAGGCAGTTGCTTAATCTAAATGCACGAACTTACCAGCAGGGTTATGCCTCTCAGTACCGATCATTATGTAAGCAGTTCCCATTTATACTGTTTGACCCCATCAGATTTTCATTTCTCACGGACTAACTTTTAACTAATTCAGTTTCCTATTTTGTGTTTATTTCTTTCCAATGGAGCCTTAAATATAAAGGATGATGTACAGGGTTGTTCCTGATCAAGTAGCTGTTCATTGAATCTGCGTCCCGTAATTATATTGCTTCAATAAGTGATTAGCGTGCGAGAAATGCTTTATGCTTGAGAGCGATTCCATTTATTTTTTTCTAGTAAATGCCCAGTCGGTAGCATTGGATAGTCAGAATATGGTGCTGTTTGAATAAAAGCTCCTTCTACTTATAGATGTTATCTTACCAAAAATACATATGTCCTGTGTTCCTATTTAATTTCCTAAGCGTTTGAGTCTGTTGAGCACGCCAAAAGCCCAAGGCAGAACAGAAATGCGAGCTCAGTCTTTATTTGAGCGTTGGTTTTTGGTTTGGTCCTGCTCGTTGTCTAAGCCTATAATGCGTAAATGATGCGTACATATTGTTTGCAGTAATGTTGTCTGTATTTTGCCG